CAGAGACCCCCTTGTTAGGCTACACCTAACAATTTAATGTCATGTGGAGTTTTACGCACTCATTATGGACCATAAAACGGCAGTAAAATTAACCAAAGACAAATTTAGATCCCGGTTTGTGTTAATTGGATGTAATTGATTATCCTACAGCCAACCTCACATATCTAAGGTCACGCACATGTGTGAAAGTGACCAGAATACATGGCCCAATTGGTCACTATTCCAAAGGGAGTCACAACTTCATCCCGTTGGAGAAAATAAGCACATCAATTTCAATTTTATGTATTTCAATTTTTCAATTTTATATATTTTTAACTATATCAAGAATACAGCCAAGGATTAATACCTTGTGGTATGATTAAGGGTCTCATAATAACAGAAACATCATTTAAATCAATGTGTAAAAGACAGCAGATCAAGGCTCCAAATGAAACGTAAGAGAAGCAGCCGCAGACTCCTGTGAAACTCACGGCCTGTATGGCAGCACCTGCTTTACTCCTGAAAAACAGCCGATTTAAGTGCCTAAGCTGTCAGTTCAGCTGCCATCTGGCAGCGCTGAAAGACCACCTGGCTCAGCCATGGGATTCTTTTACCCTCGTCCTACGCCATGCGCACAAAATGTAGGATGAAAGTGATAATCCTCTATCCCCATTATTGTGCCTTAATTATTACAGGAAGGGGATACCATAAATATTGTGGAAGGGGATATTTGCCTACAAATTGAACGCAGCATGGGAGATGGAGGACAGGCTGGTGAGGTGCCTGCCTGTTTCACCCACTGCTCCAGGTTTGTCGTGGAGGGTAAAGGTGAATCCCACCTGGCAGGAGCTGGAAGGGAAACAGATGTTGTAGTCTGCAGTATATGCTATACTTTATTACTATACTATGAGTGTATAATTCAAAATTTTAAGGAATTTTATATAAATAAAATAAATTATTTTGGGGGCAGTGTGTGGCTCAGTGGGTTAGGATGCGGTGCCTGTTTTTGGAAGGTCGCCGGTTAAATTCCTGTGGTCAGCAATTTGGTTCCACCATTGGGTCCTTGAGCAAGGCCCTTAACCCGCAATTGCTCCAAGGATCGTCTGACCCCGTTTTCACAGAGGCGGGTTCTCCCCGTGTCGTCGTCGGGTTTCCTCTGAGTACTCCGCTTACCCCTCACAGTCCAAAAACATGCTGAGGTTAATTGGAGTTACCAAATTGTCCATAGGTGTACATGTGTGAGTGAATGGTGTGTGAGTGTGCCCCGTGATGGGTTGGCGCCCCGTCCTGGGTTATTCCCTGCCTTGTGCTCGTACAGTAGCCTCTGGGATAGGCTCAAGACCTCCTGCAACCCTGAATAGGGCAAGCGATTACAGGAAATGCATGGAGGGAGACATATATATACAGTGGTACCTCAGTACTCAAACTCATTAGAACTCAAATTTCTTAAAAGTTGAACCAATCAGTTCGAAAAAAAAAGACCTAGAACTCGATCTGAATCTCAGAAGTTGAACCGTGAACGCCGACCTAAGATAACTTGTACGCGCGGGGAAATGAGTCACGTGGCACGTCTCTCAGCGGAAACAAAGGGTAATGCTTCAGTCTTAGCCTCACATTCACTGTGATAGCATCATTTGTTGGTGTTACGCAATAGTTGTACAAATGTTACAACCTAAAAGTTTGCGATTTACGAACAAATTAACGAATACAGAGTAATAATAAAAATAAACAATGAACCACATGGCATAGTCTAGTGTTGGCGCTGTGTTGGAGCATGGCTTGGGGCAGTATTGGGGTTATCGTTTTGGAAGCCATTAAGAAAAAAAATGTTACGCACGGCGTACAGTGTTGGCGCACAGTGTTTTTCACTTTACACATTGTTTGTTACATTCATTGTTTACAAACTACCGTTTTGATAAATGTGCTTAGATGTGTTTAGTATAGTATATGCTCTTCTTGTTTTATCCTGTTCATTTTGTGTTTAAATGCTAAAAAAAACATAATTAGGTGTAATTTCTTGAGGCAAGGAACCAATTAATTGTTTTTCCATTATTTCTATATATATATATATATATATATATATATATATATATATATATATATATATATACATACATACATACACACACACAGTGGTACCTCAGAACTCAAACTTCATCCGTTCAGAACTCGGATTAGAATCCTAAAGAGTTTGAGTTCTGATCAAATATATATATATGACTGTAAGTGCCTACATTCTGTATGTTGTACTGGATGGCAATGCTTCGGGTGGTGAAATAAATTTGTAATTTTTCTAGTTTTAGTTTGCACAAGTTTTTGGCAGAGTACAGCACACAGCACCAGCCTGCTGCCTGTCAGACTTTAAACTGCAAAAAGTACTGTCACAAAACCCTTTTTATCCCCAATATCTCCTGAATAAAAGATGTTGTGGCTGCTGAGCTGCCGCCTTCTTCACCGACAATTGAAGCTTCGTCTGAGGCAGTGCTTCATCCATCCATAATTTTACCTAGACCAGGGGTGGTCAATCTTATCCGCAAAGGGCCGGTGTGTGTGCAGGTTTTTGGGATAACCTGTAGGTCAGCTGTGCAAACCCAGGTGTGAGGACTCTTCAGCCAATCAATCCTCTAATTAGTAATCTAATTAGGGAGTTGCAGCGAAAACCTGCATATACTCTTTGCGGATAAGATTGGCCACCCCTGACCTAAACAGTAGGACATGTGCTCTGCCAACTCAACCAACCTTTTTGGGGAGTAGGCTGTCCGTACTTAAAAGACTATCATATGATTGGTTGCAATTCTGTTTCTGTGATGTAATATGATGGCACACATCACCCTACATTGCTCCTTATCAACAGTTTATGGAATTTTCATTTGAATTTGATATGATAATAAGACGATATGTTTTATATCGCCCAGCCATATCCCCCTGATATTTTTCAGCGATTGGGGAAATTTCCTGGGCAGCAATAGCCCATTACAGACCAAATCAAGTTTCCCTGCCACAGTTCCATCGCCCTCTACTGGCCTGCAGCCCACCAGTTGAGAAATCCCAGTGTATAACATGGTAAAACAATTACAATGAGTTTACTGAACCACAAAAAGTTTGGTAATAACTTCAAAATCTAAGAGAAGTGTCATTGAAAGAAGCCACACAATGTTTCAAAGAAACTTATTATATGAATCAGATTCTAGAAGTAACCAATTAGATTAATAATATAACCCATAAGATGCTGCATATCTAGAGAGAATACATTTCCAGGGTCAGCTATCAGTAATTAAAGCTATTCCACATTAGAGATATACAGATTTAAGATTCAGATTATAATGGAGTATTTGGTCAAGATAAAAGTGAAAGCCCTCTCTGAATGTCTACCACACCAAGGCCATCTTCCGCATTCTGCATATATTCTGGTCAGCGATCACATTTTAATTTGCTGGCTGTGGCCCAGATCACCTTTCGTTTCAGCTTCTTTTCAAAGTCTTTTTTTCTCGCCGCTGATTATCCATCTGCTGTAAAGCAGGATATATAAAAGTACAATCTGGACTCGTCATGGTTCAGCTCAGAATTCCCATCAATTGCTACACCGCCGGAGGTAGGGCTACAAATTGTCGTGAAAAGAGTTTGGAGGACCGATCCCAAGGGCGAGCTCGGCTGCCAAAGTGTACTCTGTCTGTCTCCCGCGGCCCATAAGGTTGTCCCACATTGCTGTACTAATTTGAACTCGAATGGACTATGTGGCTGCAGAGCCACTGGGCATTTACCTGCAATCAGTACCCCGAGCGTTGGCTTCAGAAACACACAGTAACAGGGATTTCTCCTTTCTCAGAAAGACTCGTCATTAGGGGAATCGTTTCTTTGTTTAGACCTCCATCCAAGACCTGTCAGCGTAGAAACCCCTTTCAGAAGTATTAGGCTCTGCATGAAATTGGACTTAGGATCAAAAACACCCTCTAAGACTGAATGTCAGAATATTCAGTTTAACCGTAAAGCTGAAATTTACTGATAAACTGAGGAGCACTCATTTAAAATTAAATACTCCATGTTTCAAAATATCAATTCAGCTGTGATTTCATACATATTCATATACTACATATTAAGGGTTTTAACAAAAGGATGAAACATGTAGGATATTTATACTTAGCATTGATTTATAATTTAAACCACAAAGGACTTCAAATTTCTACTGATCCAGAATGTATCCCAGAGTAACGAGACAGGGTACGCCCTAGAAAGGTGCCAGTCTGCTGCAGGGCATTCACAATCACTTACTTTAAAGGCCTTTATTATGGAAATGTGTATCACATTAGGTATAAGGGCGTACAGTACTCACATTTGGCCCAGTTGCCTTGTACTGTGCCGGAGCACGATCGTCCCCCCTCCCCCCTCCCCGGCTGGTCTGCTCTCACATTGCGCTTGACGCTCCAGACCCGAGGTTGCGTTCATCATTACCGTGCGACAAATTTGCGTTGAAGAAAACATAGGAGTAAAAACACTATCGCACAGCACAGTGGAGTCCACGATTAATGTCCTTATTTGGGCGCGATGACACATAGACCTCAGAGATTTATCGAGAATATAACACAGTGATTTTTGTTTAATCACGCTGCATGTATAAGAGGATAGTCCTTTATTTTATTGAAAATCTCAAAGTTTTTGTGCTGCACCCAGTTGTTCCTGGATAACCATCTCAGCCCATATTTCCAGGCCAAAGTGATCCCATTGCTGCCATGTTTATTAAATATTTGTTGCTACTCAATCTGTGCAGTCTATCTGATCTGTTCCTTCCGGGTCCAGTTCAAATATACTGGGATGCTAACTCTCACTCATCTGGCGTGACACTCGCGCTTTCAGACTCTTATGCTCACGGATGAAATCTTATGGCAAATCTATATTATTCCATCATAAACCTAAAATTAGCTAAATCAAAAGCACTGTTACATACATGTAAATGAGTGTGCAGACTTGAAGATATCACACCGGCCGGCTGACCAAAGTTGGTAACCCTGTGTACATCGTCGACGTCATGTCTCTGTTCCTTTCTCGCCCGCCGGTAAATCAGCTTTTGCGAACATCATGCCTTCATTGGGAATACACAAAGAAAATCCATAAGTACAGATATCAAATAAAAACTCTCCAGAAGACATAATTAGGACAGAATCATAACCCTGAGTACTACTGGCTACCCCAGTATGGCATACATATATTTAATTTACTGAAATGTATTCAGTAAATGCAGCCTCCCTAGCTAGTACCTAGTGTAAGTGAGAATTCTGCATGGAAATTACAAGCAACAGCCGGTCCCTGGAGCGACTGGGGTAAGGGCTGCGCTCCAGGGGATCAAATCATTGTGTTGATGCTGGGATTGGAACCAACAACCTTCTGCTCAGAGCACAGTGTCCTAACCCACCCAACTTAACCTTTAAGATCTGCAAAAATTAATTTCATTGAATTGCAATAAAAAAGTCTATGACAATTGTGACAAATATGACAGTAAACCTCTGTGGTCGTTTGGCTTGTTTGACTGGCTGCTGTTGAACAGATTATATAGATTTTGCACCCCACCGATAGGCGGGGGCTGTAGAAGGGATTCCAGCTGGCTGCACTGCACCCAGTTTATGGACAGCATGAGGATGCCAGGCAAAAATGACCAACAGCAATGGAGGTTCCAAAAACAAAATTATCTGGGTTAATAATGCATACATATTCACTTTTAAAACAGCAAAAGCAGACTGCAAAATCTCCTAGCAGTTATTCAGCACCATAGCATCAGAGACACCCTTGTAATTAGTGCAGGTATGGGTATGTATCACCGAGACAAACAACGGTTAAACAATTAACTGCTGTTTGCAATATAATTGATAGATTTGTCTGGGGTTATTGAATTTTCGCGAATAATGATCCATTTCTTTTTTTTTTTTAATCTGGTACCTTGCAAAATAAAATGCCAAAAAATGCGGAAAAATAAAAAAGGCCAAATGTAGACGGGAAGGGTCATCTCTCTCATCTCTCTCGGGCAGAATCGCCTGAGCTCACCTGAGGAACACGTGCACTGTCCATCTGCTTAAAGGCGCAGCTGGGTATTAGCAGTCTGGAGGAAACTGGGGTGATGGATGGCTGTGCTGGGGCTCAGTCATCCCAGTATACGGGGGAATGGTTGCAGTGGGTTGCTCGGTTACTGTGGGCATAGCCATAGTTTATAGACAAGCAAAAAGTTCTCCATTGGCCGTAGAAGGAGATACTCAGTGTATCGTGGTTCATGTTGGCGGTAAGTGAAGGTTGACACTTGCAGGTGAGGATTCAAGAATTAGCTTGTAGGTTTTAAAGCCAAATGCAGAGCTTTTGTCGGTGGTCACCCTTGAAGTTGCCTTCATTATTCTTCAGATGTACAAAAGCATCCATCCATCCATTTTCTGTAACCGCTTATCCTATTCTGGGTCGCAGGGGGTCCAGAGCCTATGGGCACAAGGCAGGGAACAATCCAGGATGGGCCACCAACCCATGGCAGGGCAGGCTTACACATCATTGACTCACACGTGCACACCTGTGGGCAATTTGGTAACTCCAATTTAATAACTCCAGGTATTAAATGCCCTTTTAGATTGACATCCTACAAATAACTGATTCAAGTTCCATATTGTGGTCAAATACAAATAGACAGTCTTTTTCACCTATGCTTCTTACCTGATAGAATGTCTTCAGTAATGCAGCTTACACCATTCCAACTCTGGCGGCCCATATATTTGGCAAGTCTTCGTGTCCAAATTAGCATTCAGCGCACCTAAGCACACAAACTTCTTATTATTGAAAGAACATTTATAAACTGACATGGAAGTCAACCAGATGGTAAAACCACTAACCATATAGATCACATTAATAGTCAGCGGAGCAGGTCACTATGGGTTATTAGAGCATAAAAAGATGCAGAAGCCTACAGTGACCGGTATGAAATTGCTGCTTTCATCAAACACAAGCTTGGAAAAATTATACCTCAAGAGCAGCGTTGAAAGCTGCTGGACTTCATAGAGAATGTGCTGCAAGTGGACAGCAGCATTGCAACAGAACTTAAAAATCCAATCAAACCCATTAAATCAAGGCCAGAGAAATGAAGAGGGTGCAAGGAGCCTGATGCTGAAAATTTGACAACTAACTTAATTTTTTTAACAGTGAGTAGATCTATAGCATCCTTAGGATTCGAATGATGTTCGTGGACTTGATTGCTGCTGAACTGACTGTCAGTAAGCAGCTGGAGTTTCACATGCCCAGGCAGCCCCATAAAAACAAGCAATGGGGTATAACCTGACCACAGACTGGGAGAAGCTCAGGGTCCAGGGTCCGACACGAGTTGGAAGCGCAGCGTAACTAGTCTCTCCTCACGGTACCGGTCGGGCACGGCCTGGTTCCTGTATGCCAGTGGAAAAGGGCCATTTGTCCCACATAGAAGTCATAATAGGACTACCTTAAATTGACCCAGTGATAAATCTGTCCCGTTGTACAGGTCTGAGTGAGTCAACAAAAATATTTTTAAAATGCTGCACATTTCCAAATAGGTCATCTGTGTTATTTTCAGGTTTGCCAGCACAAGGATTGTGTAAACCCAGGAACTCAGAGATCTCTGAACATGGGTCCAGTGAGCAAAATATCAGAAAACATTAGTAGACTACTAGTAACTCAGAAGACATTACTAGGCTCTTCCTGTCAGACACATTTCACCACAGGGTCTGCATTTCTGTGACAGCCATCAGCAAAAAAACTGATGAGTTAGATTGGAGATGAAGAAATCCACATTCTCTTTCAACACCTAACCAACCCTTCGGACCCTGGGGACACAAAACCAGGCTCCCGTGGCACAGAGGTGTCATTAATAACTGCAAGTTTTGTTGAAATGCACCAGAAATTATTCATATGACAATGAAAATATGTAAGACCTCCCATATCAATTTGTCATGAGCATCACTGTTTTAGTATATTTTAGTATATCTGCCAAAATGAATGATCTGAATTTTTTAGTATATTTGTAAAATCCAGGTTAATTTCTGGAGCATGGTTGGGTCAAATATTGATAGCCCCAGACCAATTTGTGTGTTAGATATATCGATCGAATGGCATTGTAATGAGCAGGAACAAGCTAATTAAAGACCTTTTAAAGATTTCACTAAACAACCTGCCTTAACCTAGTGACAATTAGCTACTAAATTTAACTGGATAAATTAGTGGAGATAAAGATTTCGGCAAGCGTTGAATGCTACAATACGCCTTGAAACACCAACGCTACACTAGTTGAAATTTCTAATGAATAGCGGCTTAAGATACATTAAGAGAGCAGCTGAAGGTGAAATTGTGGACTAGTAGCTTTTTCCGTCCTTTCCCTTGTACTTGTGTTCTGCTCACACGTACTGTGACCTCACCAGGGGTCCAGACAGGTAATAAGAGAAACACATGTGTTGAAGTAGGTTCTGAATCCTCTGAAGCCTTCAATGAACGTGGACTCATTTACGTCATGCTGTTTGGGCCAGTGTTAGGAGACCAGGTTCATAATGATTCACCCCACCTGTCAATCAATCAGGCACCACAGTATAATCTTTCTGACTAGACTCAGACACACGTCCTGAGTCTGGTTACTGTATGTTGTATGCAGTATTGTATATATGTATATATGTATATATGTATATATGTTTTGGTAGCCATGTCCAATATTATTTTCTTCTGACCAAGCAGCCCTCCTAGTTGCAAAAACACTGAAAAGATTTTTCCACAATAACCAAACTGTTCCCTGAGCCCATCTCTATGTTACATGCTCTGGTGCTTTTACCCAAGTGATTCTCACAGGCTGTGTTATAAACCAGATCAGATGGTATGTGGACTTGTGTCTACCTAGATTTTCAGAGGACCTGGCCTCAGAAGTCCTCCCTGACTTGGGGAAAAGCAGCAGAATCTGTCTCCTCTCCTCCTCCCCCCCCATCGCCTTCCTTTGGCCCACACCCTAAAGATCACTTCCTGTCCTCTGTACCCCGATACCTACACTGGTCCACCTCTCCCCTTCCCTTTGAGGAGGCCTCCCTCACCCAACAGGAGCTGCTGGTAAGATCTCTTTGTGATAATCACTGCAGATTATACAATGTTCTCCCTCGGAGCAGTTTCCTGTGCAATATCAGCTAAGACTGTTGCTGCTTCGCATTCTTCTATGAGTGAAACCTGAGGAGTTGCATGAGATACCTCCTAATGACGCAGCTGAATGTTTAAGGTCCAGAGAATAAAAATCCAGACTGAGATTTTGTTTCAACTACTTATTGCAACTTGTCTCATCCCCCCCGAGTATCAAACACTCCCCTTGTTGATGCGCTTCTGTCAGCTACTCTATAGTCATGTTCTTATAGCAAGCGCAGTACAAGCATAAACATCTGTTTGTAACCTCAAATGCTAAATTCATTAAAACAGTTATATTCAGCAGAAGCAGATGTTTCAGGGAAGCTTTGTGTGAGGGTAATACAGTTAGATGTCACAAAGGTATCCACAAAAATATCTGATCACACCAACTGGTATTATAGGATTAAGAAATATTAACAGAGGAGTTTTCTGGAGAGCGCCAGATGTCTACACAAAGACAGGCAAGTATACTCCAACAATCAACTGAGGACTCTGCCTATGGAGTGTGACCAAACCTTGGAGCTCAAATAGACCCATAAGTAAAGAACCTTCTGACAAGCTGCATCCTGTTGTCCTGGACTTGATCCAATTTTTTTCTTATTGAGGCAGTGAACAGCAAGCAATACAGGAAAATAAAAATATAAAAATGAAACAGCACGGAGGAGCCCTCAGATAGGAATTATAACCCTATACATTTTTGGCTACATCAGCCACAGGTATGAATATAATTTGCAAATTCTAATCCCAAGTCTCTTATGTAGCAAAACTGAAGGCCGACCTCCTGTCCATCGCTCTCCATCTTTACAGTCACTTCAACGGTAGATCTGATATTGAACTTAAGTTCTGTGAACATCTACACAGCTATTTCTGCATTCAGTGGCTATTGTCAAGTTGTTTAGATTGATCTTTCGTATATAATTACCATCTGAGGCATTTCCTCTCCTGCTGTCTTTTATTTCCACTCACATTTTTGCTGCTGTATAATATAAACTGTCATTTTGTCATCATCTATAATGCTTGTCTTGTTAGATCTCTGTTAAATGTTTTGGGGCAGTTGTGTCGGGAATGACACTATAAAAAGAAAAACGGAATTCTGAGTAGCTGTTTCAGTGCTTCTATGTCAGTAACATGCTGAAAGAGATATTGAGAAGGGCAGTAGTCATTCAGTAGTAAATTACTGCAGAACACTACAGTAATACTATTACACTAGTGCTCAAAGTTGTGGAAACACCTAGCATTTTTGGTGCTATACTTTAAAAATGACTACACGAATATTGGCAGTAGTGACTATAAACAATCAAAGAATGTTTACAAATAGGTATGAACTCCTGCAGGAAATACTTTGTCTGTTATGTATCTACACGTAGCTGAGACATCCTTGTATATCTTACAGGGGGTAAAATTAAGAATCTTTGAAATCACACCAATAAGCATCATATTAACATTAGTACATGCAGACAATGCTTCTACTAAGTGATTGCATAATTTGTTTTGATATTATCGGGGAAATGCAGACGCTACTGAGGACCGACATTATTTGGTCTGTGGAAGGCCATTTTGGCTGAGCACTGTCACTAGTTTTCTTTGTACTATCTAGCTTCTTAATCTTGTGGAATTAAAAAGGTTTTCACATTGCTGTCATTCTCCCTGCCTGCCTTTTCACCACTGACTCACAATCACTTTGAAATTACAGCACTTGCAAAACCTGAAATTCACTGCATCACTACCTCTGCATAATACATCTGTTTTCTGTGTTTTTTTTTTCCCAGGTGAAATTTCTGAATAATTAATTTGTGTGTGTACGTTAGACACACGGGTGAAGCTAAAAAGGGGGACAGAGACCGTTTCTCAGGTCCCCACAAAAATGTAATCAAAAAAACAAAAAATGCCAGAAGTCTTGTATTTTGTTTGGTTACTTATGGTTAAGGTTAGGGCTGGGTAAAGATTAAGCATGTCGCGATTGGAATTAGGGTTTTCCCCATAGAAATGAATGGAGAGTCCCCACAACGATATAATTACAAACCTGTGTGTATATGTGTGTGTGTGGGGGTGGGGGGGGGGGGGGGGTCGGCACCCACCCTTTGATGGACAGACATTCCAGCCTTATACCCTGTGCTGCCTGGGAAAAGCTATATGTCCCTCTGTCACCTTGACCAGGAAAAGCAGTGAAATGACATATAGATTCAACTTCCTTCCATGTTTATACAATCTGTCAAAAATGCTCTGACTGAAAGTAGCTTTAACATAAAGAGCTGCCCTCCTAATCAGTCACAATGACAGGTTAAGCATACAGCCTCATGACTCACAATATCTTTTTAGCTTTCTAGGTCTAATGCTAGTGTTTGTTTCACCATTATTTAACATATTAAAAAATAAATACAGGACTTCATATACTGATAAACAAAATGTCAACATTTTGTAAAACCTCCTTTTGCAGACTTGTCTTTTTTTGCACACATCTGCCAAATCTAGAGCTCTAGGACCTGGGCGAGTTTAAGGGGGAATAATACAACACTGCGTCTCACAACACTGCGTCTCACAACACTGCGTCTCACAACACTGCGTCTCACAACACTGCGTCTCACAACACTGCGTCTCACAACACTGCGTCTCACACCGTATCACCTTCTGTCA